TTCTGGGTCATCAACAGTATCGACTTTATTAAGAAAACACACAAGTGATGGCACACCGACCTGCATTGAGAGTAAAGGTAAACAGATAACAAAAATAAGGAACAGAATACTGTACTTCCATATCATGGTTTTCTAGAAATGTTAAATTTCATGTCATGATAGCAACCTGTCGTGCCAGAAGAATATGTTCCTTCGTCTGGGGCATTGGCCCATCAGGGGCTGAAACAACTAGAATACCCCCATCCATTTGAGCAGCTCCCGTAATCATGTTCTGCATATGATTCGAAATCGAAGAAGGAACACATCAGATAATAATTTTGGCAACAATCAAGCACATAACAAATGAATGACATTTTCCACAAAACTGAATTCAAATTGTATATGCAGTCAATTGGTCAATACCAATATGTTTAGCTAAAGGTTCCAAAGTTTCCTCATTGTTAACAATAATTTCAGATTTATATATATTTGAAACTCGCGAGCAAAATGGATCCCATGAGGTTCAGATATTGTTTCCTTCAGAGAGTGGTTTTGTAAGACGTGTTTGAGCCGGTAAATCCATGTGTGGGAAATATTTCCGAAGTCAGAGATGAATCTGAATGGGCTGCTTCCAGAAAAAAATAACTAATTGGGAAGACCATATAAGATATGGCACATCACCTTCTGGATTGCAGACGTGATGTGATGAAGAAAGATATAAAATGGTAGAGGAGAAATTTTTGAGAAGATTGACATGAGAATTTTTCATTCAAGGTGCCTGAAATCGTGTATATCACGTAGATACTCATGTGATCACAAGCCAATCTAACGTTCTATTCATGGAAATGGAAAGATAAAAAAATAAAAAAAAAATAAATAATCAGTACATTAGAATAAGAACAGGTTAATTTTACATCTCACTTTAACATAATCAGCATGTCCAGGGCAATCTACATGAGCATAATGCCTCTTCGTAGTCTCATATTCCACGTGTGCCTGCAAAATCAAATTATACATTCCAAATAAAATCAAAGAAGCTGCAGGCAAAAATAAATGATAAATCTAACGGGAAAAACAAAGAGAAAAGATTCCAACCGTGGCAATAGTAATTCCTCTCTTTTTCTCTTCAGGAGCTTTGTCAATTTCATCGAAAGCTATGGCCTTAGCCTTCCCTTCTTCTGCTAAGACCTATATTAAAATCAAGAAAATACGTCTCTGAGTCCACGTAAATACAAAAGACATACAGTTTAAGAAGCCACGAGAAAGAAGAGAAGTAAAATTTCAAAAAATGGTGTTATAAAATGACCAAGAATCGCAGATGTTTGTAATATTACCCTAGTGATTGCAGCCGTTAGGGTAGTCTTTCCATGGTCAACGTGTCCAATAGTTCCAACATTCACATGAGGTTTTCTGCCAGTATGCAATACATTGACAAAATTAAACAGTCAGCAAGTAAATTTTAATTCCGAATTCACCTTCCATCGTTCATTTTTTCCTCGGCCTCAATAAACAGAAGATATTTATAACAAAGCATCATCCTCTTCAAATATCCAAAAGAAAAAAAATTCAAAAATCATTGCACATTGGTTGCATATAATATCTAATCCAGAAAGTCTTTTGCCATAAAAGTAATACAATTACGCCATTTGACCAAACGAGTCCAACAAAACATGAAAGCGAAATGAAACAAATAGAATCTCAACTATTGTAAGAAATTTGACTCTCTACAGATAACTCGATTTGGACTTTACATATTTACACATAGCTTACGTGCGAGTGAAGGTGGCCATGGATCTCCACCAAGGGTTGGAAACAGAGGGGATTTCATTGGAAGAAATCGGCGATTCGAAAACTGAGAACGCCGAGGTGGCGGCTGATACTCGGCAGCTGGAGGAGTATATTTGTGGAGTCAGTGTAAACACGCGCCTAGAATTAGGGTTTCGAAATGCTACCGAAGCCATTTCCGATAAGGAAAAATGGAGAGCGAAGGTGTGCGCGCGCGTCTGTGTGAGAGAGAGAACCCACAGGTTTGGAACTGCGTGAAGTGGGTTTTTGAAATGCAGGGTTTTGGAAATGGAAACAGCTTCTAGGCGACGTCGTTTTTTGAGCCATTTATTTTTTGGGATGGGCTTTGTGATTATCAAATTTTCTTGGGCTTTCTAACATCGTGGGCTGTGGACAGCAGAAATATCTCCCATCTTCTCTTTCCTATGGCAAAGGGACAAAAATTCACCTCGCCTCCTAAAAAATATTTGTGGTAATTACATAAATCCAGGTGTTTAAAAATTGATTTTTAAAAATCAGGTCTAAACTTTATTTATTCAAAAATTAGGTATTATATTAAAACCCTAATTGATAACCTAATTTCTCTCTCTACTCCATTCTCTTATCTCTCGCGCCTCCCCTCCTCTTTCCCATTCTTTTTCTCTCTCGTGCTCGCCCTAGGAGACGACCGTCCACTACCGAAGACCACCTCCCAGAGCACCTACGCCTCCATACTTTTCCCTTCGCAAATCACTGCGAGTTGCGGTGGTAAAATGACATCGTGAAGCAGACCACGGCGAAGCAGAGCTCCGACGATAAATAGGTGGGTGGCGCTGTAGATCGGGGGTACAGAAGAGAAGGTGTGTGGTGGTGTAAGGTGGAGACCTTTTGGTGTTGGATTGTTGGTATTGGTGGTAGCAGGTGGCCGTTTTATCTCTGGTTTGATTTGGTTGTGTTTGTAAGGTTGTGTTTGTAGTTGTTGGTGATAGCTGTGGTGGTGTTGATGTTGGCGGTGTTCGCTAGGTGGTGTTGGTCTTGGTCTTGGTGAAGGCAGGTTGCGATTTTGTATGGTGTATGTGGTGGCGACAATGTTGTAGTGGCAAGGCAGTGGGCCTAATGTGGTGGTTGTGATTTTTGTTGGCAGCGGTGGAGGCGATGGCGACGATGGGATGGGACGAAGAGTGTCTGTGACCAACTATTTGGTGGTGGATTTGTGACCAACTATTGGTGGTGGATCGAGATCGAGGGATGGGAGTTTGGGTGTATGTGACTAATTATTTGGTTCGCCTTCGTTTTGTTGTCCTCATTTCTCTTTCCAAAATGTTTTAACTTTTTTGTTGTTAGCGATGGTGATTTTGTGATAATGGTTGGCAGTGGTGTTGGATTTAGTGGTGGCAGCTTTGTTAGTAGTAGTGTTGTGGTGTGGTAGTGGCGAATCTGACAGGATATGTTGGATCTGATGGTGATGGTTGACTTGGGCACGGTGTTGTGTGCGATCAAGGTGTTGGATAATGATCGAAGGTGAAAGTGGGGTGTTGGTTAATTTGTGACCAACCATTTTGTTATATGTGACCTAAAAATTATTTAATATGTGATCGTAAAAGAATTTGTGACCAACTAATTTGGAAATTTGTGACTGTGTGACATATAAATTTTGAAATATGTGATCGACGAATTAATTGTGACCTACAAATTTTTTTATATGTGACCATTAAAAAATCCGTGACCAACTAATTTGGAAATCTGTGACCTGCAAATAAACTGTGACCGAAAATTAATTTTTAACTAATTAATTAGATATCTGTGATCAAATTGCATATAATTGTGACTTTAAACAATTGATGGAATCGGAGCAGTCGTCGAAATTAAGCGGCGATAGAACGGTTACCGGAATAATAGTGGGAATTAAGCGCGGTCGGGGAACAGTGGCCGGAGTAGTCGTCGTAATAGTCGCCGGAGCAATAGGGGTGGTGGAGGTGAGATGGATTAATTATATTATATTACAATTAAATATTTAATTAATTAATAAATACCTGATTTTTGTAAGTTTGAAACTTAACACCTGAATTTTGCAATTGTCAAAGTTAATACCAGATTTGTGAGCTCTTCCCAAAATATTTTAGGGGTCGAGGAAGGCCATAGTGATTTTTCATTGAAAATATAAGGCTCATGCTAATTGCTAAGTGGTAACATGATGTATAGAGTTTGACATATGTTTGGTGCTAGAAGGTTGAAAGGAGAAGTGTTAGTTGTTTTAAATGGAAATTTTGATAAGTGATGACAATAACTCTAATGGTCCTATAGCATAGAAATTTCTTGTTGCATAAGTAGCGACCTGCATAAATGGTTACCCCGCTATTGCCATCCATTTTTTGTATCTTATTGCTTTATTATCAATTTTTATTATGCCACTGTTTGATGGCCATTATTAAGAGAAATTTGGGGGGAAATGATGTTTTGAATAGTGTTTTTTTGGAAAATATGCTGTTAAAAATTATAAAGAAAGTTTTGAACTTATGTGTAGAATATTTTAGAGCTTATTTGAGCTACATTTTTTATATATAAAAATGTATTTTGAAATAGTATTTTGATAGAGAATATGTAGTTAAAAAATAAGGAACGATTTTGAACTTGCGTGTAATATTATTTTATTAAAGAATGTAAAATTGAAAATAAGAAAGAGAAAAATGTACTTTGAAAATAATGGGGATCAAACAAGAGCTAATGTGAATGTGTTGTTGAAAATGAGTATAAGAAAAAAGTTTTAATTTAAAGAGAGACATATGAGTAAATATGAACACAGAACACCCAATAAGCCTATGTTTGGCTTGTGTTTATAAATAGTTTAAAAAACTCGATTCACTTTTTTCCCACCAAGTCAGTAGCATTTCCTTCCTTAACAATATTTGCTTGGGTGGCACATTTCAAACATTTCACAAGTATTACCCACTTATTCACTACTCATATTTATATATTTATAATTTAAACCGTTTATAAATACTTCTCGGACATTAAGTTACTTATTTTGATAGCGCTCCATGAATTACTATCAAAATAAGTATTTATATGAAAACAAGGTGGACTAGAAAGGTTAACCAACTGGCCATGTTACTTTGTTTCTCTTGTTTACCTTGCAAGACACTCATTTTCTAGTGTCTCACCAAACTATGAACTATTCATCTGATTTTTCCCCATCTCTCTGTTGTGTATATTCTCTATATATATTGCTTTGTTTCAGCCATTTTCATTGTTTTTTCATGGCTCCCATTTTATTTATTCTCCAGATATTGGCTCTGTGTCATTTGTGTTTAGCAATAGATAATTATTTCTTTAACTTAACTTATCGAGCAGTTTTCAACTTTGGCGATTCTAATTCCGACACTGGAGGACTGGCTGCTGGAATAGCCTTCCCAGTCGGGCCACCCAATGGACAAACATACTTCCTCAAGCCATCTGGAAGATTTTGTGACGGCCGGTTAATAATTGATTTCTTGCGTAATATACTCTCCTCGTGTGCCAATTTACTTGTATAAATCAAAGAGTCTTTTTTCTTCTGGGGTGTGATGCCCACTTTTCTTGGACAGGGGATTCGATGAATTTGCCACTCCACAATGCGTACTTGGAATCTGTTGGTGCCCCAAATTTCCAATCGGGGTGTAATTTTGCCGCAGGAGGGTCTACTATACTTGCTGCCAAAGCCAATTCGATTAGTCCATTTTCATTTGGTGTCCAGGTAGACCAATTCATCAGATTTAAAGCTCGAGTTCTTGAATTACTGGCAAAAGGTACGTGCACGTTTTCTATAGATAAAAGGAAGCAAAACTTCATTGAATTGTTGTCTTTGTATGCATTGATATCTAATGGTTTTCTTTCTCTCTTGTAGACAGGAGGCTAAGAAAATTCCTGCCTACAAAGAACAGTTTCACACAAGGCCTATACATGTTTGACATTGGCCAAAACGATATTGATGCTGCATTTTCTTCAAAACCTGAGGATGTTATTGCTTCAATTCCAACTATTTTGTTAGAATTTGAAACGGGATTACAGGTTTTTTTATTTCTGTCTCTAAAAACGGAAAACTGAAAACGAATTTAAAATCGAAAGCTGAAAAGCAAATCAAACGGGGCCTATGTTTTTTGGCTACTTGCAGACATTATATAATGAAGGAGCAAGGAATTTCTGGATTCATAACATGTGGCCATTGGGTTGCTTACCCAGAATTATTTCAACATTTGGAATGGATGCATCAAAACTAGATGATATTCAATGTGTCACTTCACATAACCAGGCGGCCATGCTTTTCAATTTACAACTACATGCTTTGTGTTCAAAGTTCCAAGGACAGTTTCCAAAAGCCAAAGTCACTTATGTAGACATCTTCAACATCAAACTCAACCTCATTTCAAATTATTCTCAATACGGTAATTGATAAACCAACTTATTTTTGACACATTTTCACTTTATTTTGGTAGTGATAGTATAAAAATGGCCGTTTTACTTTCTTCAACAATTCTAACAACGTGTTTAATAAGTGGACGTGGGTTGAGTTGGATTGGTTTTGAGTCCAACCCCAACCCAAACCCAACCCAACATGTTCATTTTGACAATAATTTAAACCGAAACCAACCCATTTACGGTTGAAATCCAACCCAATCCAAACCGACCAAACCCGGGTTGGTTTGGGTTAGGTTGATTGGTTTGAACTCGAGTTATGACCTTTTTTCGTTGAATTTAAACAATTTTTTAAAGTTTGATACTATTTCAATTTCAACCAATTTCAGTTACATTAAAAATGGTGATTTGAAAGGCCTTAAGTCGATTGAAATTAGATCGATAGTCCGTAGGTTTAAGTTTCATTCCAATAGAACAATATAAATTAGAAATATTGTAAAACATGTTAAATAGATTATATTATGATCAAATTAAATACATATTAAATCAATTTAAATAGATGTTGAATACCTTCATATTATACATATTGAATAAAATGAATTCAACATAAATACTAAACATGTTAAATCATCCAAACTCAATACAAAATCTCTTTCTTCAATCCAAGTGTTTAGTTAAAAATTACGTCAAAAAATCGAGTCGGGAAGCCGAGGCATGATCAACACTGAGAGGCAGAATATAAATAAATCAAAATACATATTGAATACTTGCATATTATACAATTTAATAAAATGAATTCAACATAAATACTAAAAAGTTAAATCATCCAAATTCAATACAAAATCTCCGCCTTCAATCCAAGTGTTTAGTCAAAAATCACATAAAAAAATCAAGTCGAGAAGTAGAGGCACGAGCAGCAATGAGAGGCAGAAGAGACAAGAGGCAGAAGAGACGTGAGGCAAAGGAGAATTTTGATCATTAGCTTTTAGATTTTTGGTTTTAAGTACTAATTTTCTTTTTAATTTTTTTGGGTTGGGTTTTAATAGATATCTCGAACCCAACCCAACCCAACCCGACCCGACCTAAAATTTGATTTCCTAACTCGAACCCAACCCAATTGAACTAAAAAACCAATCCAAACTAGTTGGTTTGTGTTGGGTTGATCGGTTTGATTTGTTTGGATTTGTTTTTGCCCAACCCTAAGTAATGCTGGACTAGACTAACTATGAGCAAAATTTGGCTTTTTTTTCCTTATTTAGGGCTCGTTTGGAGTTCTGTTCTTGCTTTTGCTTTTTATAGAAGAACTTTAAGATGAAACTACTTTAATTGGTGTTTAAAAAATAATTATTAAAAGAGTTTCATCTTCCAAATGGATTTTCACAAGAAGCTACATTGAATCAACTTCCTTTAAAAGTTCTTCTAACTAGAATAAGCACCCTTATAAAATTAATCATATGGGTTCAAAAACAATTTTCGATCTCAAAAGCTCATTTTAACTTTTCAAAAGTCATGTCATTCGGATCTTTAATGATGTCCAGTATTTTGTATCAAATATGTACTAATATAGTACAATAATGTGCAATAACATATTTAGTAGGATGGGGGTCGTGATGCGTCTCGATCGAATGTAGAACGGTGATGAGCCGGTCCATTAATCGACTTGAGGCGAGGACCAGCACGAATTGAGCTGATGACAACCAAAGTCCAGCTAGTCAATATGCATGTGGAATGCAATTGCCTTGATTGTGGCAGATGGTGCATCCCTTTAGCGTCCCCAGCCCACTGAATTTTTTTTGGTAGAATTTTTTTTTTTATGTAAAAAGAAAAAAAAATTCATGTGTAATTTTATTTTTTTTACGTATTAGCCCACCTTGTAATCCAATCCTAGATCCGTTCTTGCTCATTTGACCCATCTTGAAACACTGATCAATGAGTAATACTATGGATAAGACTTTAAACTCTTTTTTATCTAGCAATGTATATCAAATATGCACTAAGAGAACTTGGTTTACAGGGTTCAAACAACCATTAGCTGCTTGCTGTGGATATGGTGGCCTTCCACTAAACTTCGATGCTCGAATTGCTTGTGGAGTAACAAAGATTTTAAATGGTACATTGGTGACAGCAGGGCCATGCAATAACACTGCTGAGTACATTAATTGGGATGGAAACCATTACACAGAAGCTGCTAATCAATTCGTTTCAACACAAATTCTGTCTGGGAAGTATTTGGATCCCCCTTTACCAGCAAAAAACTTCATTTCCTATCAGACTGCAACTTGTCACCGAGAACTCACGTCACGTTTGGTAGAGTGAAATTTACATTATTGATGATATCAGCAAACCTAAAATAAAATGTTGATAAATCTTATATATTGTACTGTTTCGGCATATTGTACTGTTTGTCAAACTAACTCTTTAGCCATATTTATGTAGGGAAGTAAGATCAATTCTTCGATTTACTTACAGGATTCTTATTTAGAGAAACATTAAGAAGTTAGAATAATTATAAAACAATGCAAAATTTAAGAATGGTTATGTTACAAGCATATAAAATTTCTCGTTCGCGCGAACTTGAGCCCTTGTTTAGTTTAGCTAAAAATCAAAATTTTACTAGATTTTGATAGAAGGTGATAAAAATGTATAATTCTCATCAAATATGTGATTAAAAATGAATTTTAGAAAATGGACCAAAAAAAACTGCATGATCTCAATAGCGACTTCATGCAGGTGAAGATTTAACATGCACTTGATTTTAAGAGCTTATGACTTTACACTCAAATACGATTTTCGTTAACAAAGGTGAAGATTGTGTGAAGAAGAAGAGGCAATGACATAAACAGTTTCTTCGTCCTCTCTTCTACTCCTCGCATCTGATTCCCTCTTCCAGTGATTTTTCTCTTTCTTTCCTTTTTACCCCAAAAAGAAATCAAAATTTCACCTTTTTTTCTCTTACTACTTAAACTTAACTTTACTTCTCTTTTGAAGAATCATTGTTTTCTTGTCCCATATCGATTTTATAGCTTTATCTGTATTTTTTCCCATTATAGTGCTAAAATTTCTGTGTATGAAGATTGTACCTCGATTGTTTAAAACCTGGAGTGCGTGCCTTTATCTATTTTGAATTTTGGCTGGACTTATTAGATGATGGTTCCAATTGGCGGAATAACATGCTGCTTGAGCGCAGCCGCACTTTACCTTCTTGGCAGGAGCAGCGGAAGGTTTGGTTAATTTTTTCTAGTGTTTCTGAGATGAGTTGTGCTACATGTACATAACAATTTATATAATAGTTTACCAACGAATGATGTGACGAGATTTAATTAGATCAAAATCTTATCAATCAAATAACTTTCTCACTTACATTTTGACACCTCATCATTATGTAAAACAGTATGTAAACAGTTACATGAAGCATTTTCCTCCTAGGATAGTTGTTTGGTTTTCCATATTGTAATTGATTCAGCGTTTTCATGTCCAATTGGAATTAATTAAGTGTTTTCATGTCTAGTTGAAATTAATTGTGTGCTTTCATGTCTAATTTTGAATTAATTTAAGGGTTTTCATGTCCAGGGATGCCGAAGTTCTGAAATCTGTTACTCGAGTTAACCAGTTAAAAGGAATTGGGTGAGTGGAGCCTTTGCTTAGTTTTCTGATTGAATTATTGTGATCAAATTATAAGTTGTCTGGTTGAGTAAATTGTGGAATCTTTGCTTATGATATAATTGGCATAGATTATCCATTTTCTAGTCTCTTTTCAGCTTTATTTATTTATGGACCATGCTACACTTACTCCATGGATTACTACATGGATGACTTAAGGGACAAGTGGCGACCTCCTATTGGAAGGTCGACTGTGGGGCCTCGGCCCCACAGCCGACCCTCCAATAGGAGTACATCTAGCATTTTCCTTTATTTATTTATTTATTTTTTTTACTGAATTATCACGATTTGCATAATCTTACAAGATCAATAGAAATTGCTTTCTTGGTCTGTTACGACGGTGAATTCCATAGGACTATAAAGCCAGAATGAAGATTTTGTCATATTCGGTTCCAGTTTAACGATATTTTCATGCTTTTACATTTTTCAGCTCAACTACTGGATACTGAAAGCAGAGTTTTGCCTTTGGTTGTCACTGTGTCTGGGAGGGTTGGTTCAGATACACCAATCAACTGCGAGACAGTGGTTTACGGGCCGTAATTGTGGAGCAAAAGGTACATAGATTCGTTTTCCATGATAATACAGAAATGAAAAGTTTTTCCTGTTGTCAGCAGTTCTTACCCAAGCACTCTTCTCTTCTCATATTCTCTCAGGCGGAGCAGCACTTTCTGAAACACAATGAAGCAGGATCATGGACACGAGATTCAGCTTTGTTGCTTTCCATGTGCAAAGAAGTTCCTTGGTACCTGGTAAAATTAGGTTTTGTTCTCCTTGCGTTGCCCTACTGAGAAATACACATTTTTGCAGAAACACTCATGCACATGCTTTTGTTGTACCATGGCACATCTAGCTAGCTATAGACAAGGAATTCAAGCGAAAACCTTAAAAACACTATTTTTGGTATCCACCAAATTATGAAGAAATAAGCTCACGAAATCTTATTAATGTAAGATGATCAAAACGAAGAATTAATCCTTTATTTATTAGGGTTTACATGAAAACTTAGTTTAAACAAACTAAAATTACAAAGAATTCGAAATAAACTAAATAACAAAAATAGTACTAAAACTTTAAAAGCAGTTTTCGACTCCTAAACAAACTCTGATGACAAAAATCTATTATATATCACAGCAAAGCGGTGAGTTCTACTCATTTCGTCGTTATTTTTTTGAGAATGGTATTATGGGCCCAAACCAGAGCTCGAACACCACACCTATGCTATTACCTTTTTTCCCTTTTCAATCCGATTCTTATTCTGCATCAAGTCACAATGTTAAAATGAAAATTGTTGCATAATTCATCACTTCAGACTTCATAGCAAATTTTAGAGGCTATATTTTTTCTTTTTATAACAGGATGATGGCACTGCTCGTGTACATGTTGTTGGAGCCCGTGATGCCACAGGTTTGGTCCTGACAGTTGGAAGTGAAGTGTTTGAGGAGTCAGGACGGCACCTTGTGCGTCGAAGTGAAGTGTTTGAGGAGTTGGTATGGTACCATGTGCATGGAACTTTGGATCATCACAAGGGTCTGAAGGACCGCCTTGGTTCCATATATTCTAACGTTTGCTGTTTGGCATCTGCAATTAAGCGTGCATATTCTGTTGTCTCAAACTCTTTCAATTATGATTGTCTTGTTAGATGCTTGGAGTCAAAAGAATCGAACGCATTCTGCCAACTGGTACACCCTTGACAATTGTTGGTGAGGTATGATACTTGTCGAGAAGACACAAATAATCTTCTTCATTTATCTATTCAAAAGTTAATTTCAAAACTAGACCGTAACTATTGATTTTACAAATGGAGATTTTTCGTACATTTATGGCAAAAACAAGGGCTAAGTTCATCAAACTGTGACTGTATTTGCTACTTTGAACTAGATGGTAACTTTAAGATATCAGTTTATATTGCTTGGAAAATCCTGGTACTCCAACTGATCACACATTCTTAGTAATTACTTGAGAAAATTGAGAGTATTCTTTGATATTTGAAAACTCCTTTGTTTTTATAGTTAGCTTTCTCCCTTAAATGATTACTTCATTTGCTTTATCAGGCTGTTAAGGATGACATTGGAGCAATACAAATTCAGCAACCCCACAATGGCCCCTTTTATGTCTCTTACAAAACCATTGATCAGCTCATTGCAGATCTTGGGAAATGGGCAAGGTTTATTTGTCCCCCCTTTACATTATTCTTGATATTAACATCACTACGCCAAAAAACATCATTTGCAACATTAAAAAGGCAACATTTGTTGATAAATGTTGCTAAAAAGGTCTTTTGACAACATTTCAGTAAGTGAATGTTGCAATTGATTAATATTAATGAGTTTTGGCAACGTTTTTTGAAAAATGTTGTGATATACCCCCTTTTGCAACGTTTCTGGAGCGTTGCGGAATGTGAGATCTTTCGCAACGTTTAATAAACGTTGCGAAAAGTGACCTTTCGCAACGTATATTAAACGTTGCGAAAAGTGGGACCTAATTAAACGTTGCGAAAAGTTTCAGCCGTTGTTTACAAAAAGTTTTAAAACTCAGTCACTCCTCCCTCATTACCCAAACCCAGCCCTAATTCAAGCCTCCACTCCTTTCACGCCTCCACTCCTCCACAGAGTGAAAAATGCCGGACAACCCGTCACCCGTCTCCAACCCGCCTCCGGCCTCTTGACAGGAACTCTACTCGGCGACTATGCACACCATATATATAGAAGAAAAATATGAAATGCATCGGTTTATCTATTTTTATTTATTTATTTTGAGCTTTCCGACCCTTTAGAAACCCTAGATCATACTGTTCTCTTGTTCGTTCGCATATTCCAAGTCCGATTCCAATTCTAAATCAATCTTACACAAGTGAACAAAGGCGATGGATGATAGCTGTGCGGTGTGTGCGGAGGTGTTGGAATGGGTGGCGTACGGGGAGTGCGGCCACAAGGATGTCTGCTCAACTTGCGTCGCTCGCCTCCGATTCATCTGCGACGATCGTCGCTGCTGTATTTGCAAGACCGCGTCAAACATCGTCTTTGTCACCAAGGTGAACAAACAGTATTCCTTTATTGATTTGCGTTCTGGCTTCAATTTTTGTAAATTGTTTGAATTCAAATATCGGATTGATAAAATTAGGATTTCTTTATTGACTAGGAACTAAATGTTTGTAGGGTCATGTTAATTAGTACTCTTAAGCGACTGTTGGTCGGAAAGTTATATGTAGGAGTCGAACCGTGATAAATTTTCTACTGGTCAGTTAATTAAGCTTTTGCCAAATTTAAGTGGCTACGATTCCTGATGTTAATCTGACATTATGATTCTATCCACAGGGTGTTGGCTGTGACCTTTTTGATGGCTTTTGGTATGTCACAGACTTGAGTTTTGGACCTGTTCATGACAATTCCCTTAGTTGTGCCCAAAATGTTGAATTTAGCCCCCAATTATTTGCATTAAGGCACCTGAAATCACTCTCATTCTTCAGTTGCTTTGTCTCACCTCACCATTATCCTGTTGCAATTCCTATTGAAAATTGGCAAGTTTTTGCTGGCAGCTTAGAGTCACTAGAGTTCCGGTCCAATCCTGGCCTCATTGGACAAATTCCCACAAGATATTGAGTTACAGGGACCTTGTCAAATTACGATTAATGTACCTCAGCACTTCACTTGTTTTAAGTCTGGTTGTTTACAGAACTTTCCTGTACCTCTGCAAGTATTTGTTAACTCTTATCACGAATCACTGCACTAGAACTTTGGGTGTGGGATTCGCTGAAGTATTAAAACGAAAAGATCAACAATTACCTGAGAGGAGAAGGGTGAGGAAGGGGGAAGTGAATCTCTGTTTTTGCATAGCTACTTGTTTACATGTTTAATTAATAAATCACGGTTCCTTCTTTGCCCTTTTACTTGACAGTATTATCCCTTTATAGTGTCTATTTAGTTGTTTCCTTCTCCCTATGGAATTGGCCTCTTGGCATAGTTTCTCAATCTTTGTGATTCTTATGATGTGATTCGCTAATAATCTCTATGTTTCCAGATTTTGGAAGGTCTTCTTAAATTGCCAGAGAATAGGGAATGTGCGGATTGCAAGAGCAAGTGCGTACTCTAAATTATTCACATATTGTTTACATTAAAAATGAGAATATGTGAATGCAAAGCTGACTTAGAAATCATGCATTTTACCTTATTTTGTAATTAGAATGTTAGACAGCTATGTTACTTGGGCTGTTTAAAATTTTAACAATTTGGTCTTGAAATTGCAGAGGTCCTCGATGGGCTAGTGTGAACTTAGGCATATTTGTATGCATGCAATGCTCTGGGATCCATAGAAGTCTTGGAGTACACATATCAAAGGTGATATATTGTTACTTAAGTTTTCTTTGCTCTTCTTTTTTTTTTTGGTAGAGGCAAATTGATTTATGCATAAATATGGGAAGTAATTCCTTGATTATATTTTAATGACATTTTGACTTTAGTCGTGGTAAACCTCATATGCGATTGATAGAGGGAGATGATTATGTTTGCTTATTTCATGGCTGATTATCCAAGGATTCCATCATATGCGGATTTTTTTCCTTTTATGATGTCAAAATCCATATATTTGTTTTAAGTCTGGGGCTCTTATCCTATTTTAACTAATAGAATGGCCTGTCCGCGAGGGAATGGGCTGCCTCGATGAAGCAGCGAGGCTCCGACACAGGAATTCAGGGATTATATTTATGCATTCGATCAAAAGATACTTCATATAACATGTTCATTGTATTATCTAGGAACATAAGGTGAAAGCATTCTCTAGCTATTACCGCCTCAATAATCATTACTTTCTCTTCAAGATCTGAATTTTCACTTTTAGGATCTATAGATTTCTTTGAAAATGTTAGAGATTGTGGATTACATGTCTTCCCAAAGGTTTCTGAAATTGTACTTCATTTAGTTGGCTGACCCTATGGTTCCTTATTTTTGTGCTTAAAGTAGCGTGTTCCACCGTTAATGCTTTAAGTTCTTTAGCCATTTTTTCACATGTTGGGGGAGAATTTGAGGCCAGACAGATGGGAGATTGTTACTTCCTTTCATATGTGGGATTCTGCTTTATGCATAAATATGGGAAGTAATGTATAAAGGTGAATTCGTTCAGAAGTACAAATTGTTACTTACCTTCACACAAAAATCCCTTAAGAATAAAGCCTCCCTGATTATTATTTGTGAATGTGAGAAGCTCTGAAAATTTCGACTGTTCAACTTGAATAATAGGAAGACTTGACGTCCATGTTGCCTAATCTAAGATACAGCTAATTGTTAAGATAGTGACGTTTTCGACTTTCTGAAATGCCTAGTATTATATATTCTATGTATCTTGTCCAATATAGAGAAATGTAGTACAATTTGTTTATAAGAGAATAAGTTAGTTGGCTGCTGGTCTATTCCAATAGTTAGCAGAATTTGGTAATAAAAATAAAAATATACAAAGAAATTTGATATTTCTTTTTACCACAAATCAATATAAAAGAAACTTCAAAGTTGATTATTATGAATATAAATAGTGTTTTAGATGTAATGTTAATCCACGACATGTTTGTATTTCCTCAATAAATGATAATATATATTATTGTACAGTACTTGAAATTAATTATTTATAAAAGTTGGTGAAATGTTTGGATTTTCACAATGACTTTTAACTTGTAATTTAGTAACACTTTCTGCCTTCTTGCTTGCAATGTTGAGTTCTTGGATTTTCAATATAATACTTTCTGTCTGCAACATCTAGTGGAATTCATAAGCTCAAAGAATAATGTTATATTTTGAATCATTTGTTTAATCTACCTCTTTGCTTTCTTAGTCAGCTTTTATCTTTTACTATTAATTGAGATGTTTCATCTATTTTATGACTAGGTGTTTGTAACTGCATATGCAGACACAGAAGGTTCTGCTTGGGAGATTTAAGCAACTCCG